GGGGGAAAGGACCGCCCTGCGGGGGCGGGGCCCCGCCACGTGGGTGGGAGGCCCCGCCGGGAGCGGGCCCCGCCGCCCGTCCGTGCCCCGCTCCTCTCCGGTCCCCCCGCACCTCTTCGCGGGGCAGCACACGGCTCTCCGCTCCCGCCTGCCCTGCCGTAGGCGCCCACAGCCCCCGCCGCCTCACAGCGGGGAGCCGGGGACCCCTAATTCCGGCGGGACTGTAACACTCCGCGGAATTATTAGGCTGCTCTATGCAACGTCCAGCTTAGATCCCCCGGCTGAAATTTCAGCCTATTAATGCCGCCCTCAAAGCTCGCCTGGAGAACAGGTCATACTCAAGTGTTGCCCTTGAGCGTCACAGCCCTTCTTGTGCAATCCCCCCGTTCCGTAGCGGAGGCCGCCAAAACACGGCAGAACCACAGAGCCTGCACAGAAGAGCCCCAGTAGCCGTCACCACCGACGCCGCGGCCAGAAGCTCACCGCAGGCCTGGCACAGGTGCTTCAAACCCAGGAAAGTACGATGGCAAAGGTGAAAGCAGCGGTGAGGCCAGAGGGCACGCAGAACAAGGGGTGCTGAGCGTTCCCCCTTTGCCAGTGGATGTCATCATGGAAGTTAGGAAATTACCACGCAGGATCTCGCCGGCGCTGCACCTTAAGCAGAGCGATTACATTGAGCAACAAGGTACGACCAGTCTCCTACCCGCGCTGGCCCTTCGAAGACCTATCTAGCAGCAGCCGCCTGTGCGTGCGCAGGACGCGGGTCCGTAGCCGGCTGACCCACGGCGCTGTCCTCACGTCCCACCCAAGGCTTATCTGCAGCCACAGGCCGCTGCTTGTTGCTCGGGCGTTCCTGCAGCGACATAATCAGCCAGTTCGGGAGGGCGATACAACTAAAACTACCCTTTTCCTCAAGAAGAACAACAGACAAAAAAAACCACTGCCAACTTCAGCAAGAAATGCCCAGAAGGGACGGCCGCGTCCTTCCCTCGGGAGCTGGGGAGCGGAGGAGACACGAGTGCGGCGTGACAGCAGCGGAGACGCGGTGTTTCGGTCTACCCTCTCCTCGCTCTGCGATAGCTCTCTGCATGGAAAAGCACTTGGAGAAAAGGCAAAAGAAACCCAGCTCTGCATCGTCACCAGAATTTCTTATGTCTGCGTCTTCACTAACGAGGCACGCGTACGCATTTCACAGAAAGGCCACCAAAATGCAGTAGGTGTTTTTCTATAAACTCCAGCAGACCAAGGCTGCAGCCAGCTGACACAGAATCACAGAATCACAGAATGCTCTGGGATGGAAGGGACCTTTGAAGGCCATCAATCCAACCCCCTGCAATGGGCAGGGACATCTCCAACCAGGCCAGGTTGCTCAGAGCCCCATCCAGCCTGGCCTTGAATGTTTCCAAGGATGGGGCATCTACCACCTCTCTGGGCAACCTGTTCCAGCGTTTCACCACCCTCCTCGTGAAACATTTTTTCCTTGCGTTTAGTCTAAATCTACCCGCCTTTAGTTTAAAACCATTACCCCTTGTCCTGTCGCAGCAGGCCTTGCTAAAAAGACCATCCCCGTCTTTCCTGTAGGCCCCCTGTAAGTATTGAAAGGCTGCAAACATGAGCTGGGCACCGTGCTGACGGACTCCTCTGTCACGGCAGGTACACCCGGCTCCCCAGAACACCACCGGAGCCCTCGGCAGACACCGCTCTGATTTTTCCACCCCAATTCACACTGTTCTTTTCACGTAGCTAGGATGTAACTTGGAAAAAAATTCTTCATAAATTACTAATGATGATTTCCTTCTTGCAGTAATTGAGGAACGCTGTTCCTAATGTCCTGGGGAAGCTCTGGAAACGCCTGTACTGTGGTTTTGCTCAGCTTCCGGGGGTTGGATATTTTGAGTATTCATTTTATATATGTATATTAAACAAAGCAACCCGAGTTTGCATTGAAGCTGTGCGGGCCGCCACTAGAGGGCAAAGCAAGCCAAGTCATTCTCTTCCCCAGAGCAACAAAGAAAACAAACGTCAGCTCCAACCGGCCGCTGCTCCCAGCACGGTGGGATCACGCCAGGAATTAACAAAACATCGCGGCTCGCCCCCCTTAGCTTGCCTCAGGGAGTTATGGCCAAACAGCCAGTACCGAGGGGAAGTTAAAATGCCGTCACACCTAAGGCTGCAGCCCAAAAGAGGACGCGCCCGTCACCGTGACTCAGGAGGCAGCAGCGCATGGGAGAGGGCTGGCCGGCTCCCAGACTCCAGAGGGAGCAGCAGGGCTCCCGCCAGCACCGGCTTTAAAACCCAGTGACCTAAATATCATCTGCCGTGGGACTGCAAGGGCAGCTCCCGGGGGCACGGCGGTCCAGCGCGGAAATGGGGAACGGCTCTGTGGGGGAAGGGAAGGAAAATTAATGAGCAAGGTGTTGGGATTCGCTCAGAAAGGAAAAAAAATCTTCAGCGTAAATACCTTCAGGCTAAATTCACGCTTCACCCAGTTTTTAAAAAATCTTACAGGACTGGTTACCTTTGAAATCAAAAGTTCGATTTCTTTCAAATATACCAACAAGACATGCTTGTTAAATATTTCAAGTTCTTGCTGTAGTTCTCACTTACGCAGCACCTGTCATATTTGCAATTAAATAAATACCCCAGCATTTACACAAATTTCTTATTCACAAGATGAAAGCCTGACCACTTGTGTTTCAGCCACTGTACCTCCCCATTGGAAAGCAAGTAAAAACGATACCCTAAGGGTAACTGTTACATTAAGCAACATTATTTTATACAGTCGTATAATAAAATGCCGGTAGGTGCTAACTACATTTTATAGATTATAAAATATAATTACATTCAGATAGTATCCGCCAATGATAAAAAAGAGCATCTGTGACAAAAAAAGTGCCTTCAGCGAGATCCTGAAGTTACGTGCAAAACGCTAGGGAAACAGCGTCCTGCAGATAATTCTGCACGTGCTGATTTCACGCCAGCAGGAACCATCATTGCCATCAGTGGGATCACTCACCTCTCCCAGTCGAGGACGATCACGAATTCTGCTCGCAGGCCTGACGGATAACCATCTTTTCAACCTAAGACATCAAAACTGTCACTTTCTTGTCATGATTGGAGGGAGCTGCTTAGATGCATTTAATGTTAGATACGCCGCACGTGAACTGTGCTTCATTGTGCCTTTATTTGAGGTGCGTAGAGGGCAATAATCAAGGCATTAGCTGCCCTTTAAATTGTTCTTCTCATCTCCGGCCAGACTTCTGTCATCTTTTTCTCCATTTAGTGTCCGAAGCATCACTGATTAATCTGAATTACTTAAGTCAGTTTAATTAAAATTGCTTTGTCTTTACATAGCTTAGCCTAGATCCGTCTAATCCTTTATTGGTTATTTTAATCCTCATTAAGTTTGTCTAACAATAAGTAAACTTGTATAAAATTGAATGAGCAGTACTGAACTTTTAAGCAGATTTCATGACTGCCCAAGCTTTATTTACATCTGCTTCAATTTTGTTAAAGTTCTTAAAAAATTTCCTGTTCTTACACAACTGGGAAAACGTTTTAATGGAAGACTGTCTCTTTCTGCAAAAATTTGTCAGTCTGAGAGCCTTAAGCGCTAAAAAGATGTCTCCAAATGTAAAACTAGCATAAGTAGTCATCAGGTTTTCAAGCATAGTTAGCTCTTTGCAGCAGATTTCACGTTAGCAGCTTGTAGAATGTTTGCAAGGGGAAACTCATGTGGCAGCACATCCCCACAGGTGTGGCCTTCCCAGGCGGGTCAGCAGGAAGGGGCCTCTGCACAGCATGGCTCGGTCACCCCTCATTCTCCTAGGGGAGTCCAGGAAGATCCTGTCAGGGAAACACCGGAGCCGTGGGACTCTGAGGGCACGGGAGCGGGGGCTGCACATATCCCCAGGACGGGGCGGCACCGACCCCGCCAGAGCACTCGGAGCCCTACAAAGCCGCCTCAGCGTGCTTTCGCAGGCAGGCGCCCAGGCCCGGCTCCACAGGAACAGCAGCGCCAACTGCGGCGGGAGGGAACCGAGGGGCCGCCCGAAGGGCTGCGTTCAGCAGCGGCAGCGCGGGCGGGGGGAGGCTGAGCCAACACCATTTCTCCTCAGGCCGCGGCCCCCCGAGGCCCCGCCCCCGGCCGGGG